CTATTGCTGCATGCCATGTGGGCTTTGAGGGAAAGACGGCTAGCCAACATCCTTTGGTCTGCCGTTTTATGAAAGGGGCTCGCAGGCTCCTCCCTGTTTCCAGGTCACTGGTGCCCTTATGGGACTTGGCAGTGGTTTTAGATGGGCTCACTCGACCTCCATTTGAACCCCTGGAAGAAGCTGACATGAAACACCTGTCACTGAAGACAGTGCTGTTACTGGCAACGGCTCTCCCACTGGATTGTGGAAGTGATTGCTCTGGCTTATACGAGTCAGGGTTTGCAGGCTCCAAAGGGCCTGTGTGCTCATTCTACTCGTGGACTGGCTACATCCTGGGCTTTGTTCAAGGGTGTTTCCATCCAAGACATTTGTGCAGCAGCGAGCTGGTCCTCACGCTCACTTTTGTCCGCTTTTACAGGCTAGATGTCTCTGATTCTAATGTGGCCCGCGCAGTGCTGGGCCCCGTGTTGAGACAGGTTCTACCTGTTAAGTTCTGGTTGTTTTGGTGATTTTCGAGATAAGCATGTCTGGCAATACGGGAGTTTCAATATCCCATAGTGAGACATCGAACGGAGTGTTATGAATGAGAACTATAGGTTACTTACGTAACCCCAGTTCTCAGAGTAACATGAAGTAAGATGTCTCAACAGACGGCCCTTCTTGCTAAGGCGAAGCGAGAAGAGGTGCTTATTTTGAATGACGCTGCGTCGTAGTGCAAGCTACTTATAGGGTGGGTGGATTCCCTGACATAGACGTCAAGATCACCAGCCAATCAGGATTGGCGTAATGAGATTGATGCTTCTGTTTGCATACGCGTTGAGACATCTCACTTCATGTTACTCTGAGAACTGGGGTTACGTAAGTAACCTATAGATTTGGTTTGATGTAATTGGATTTACTTTAAACCATGTTCATTTTGTTATGGAAATATTGTTTTTCAACTTGAATAGCTTAATTTCCTTTTTCCTAAGCCTTCTTCTCTGTTATTTATATTGCTCAGTTTTTCTTTTTTTATTCTCTTCAACTTCTGTTTGCTCTCGTCTTTCGTTTCTTTTGTTCATGTCTCTTTATAATAACCATAATGGCTTGGAATTTTTTTATAGGGTACATGTGGAATAACATCTTGTTGAATACACTGTATTTTGCAAATATGTATATGATGGAAACCGAGAATCCTCCTATTTTATTTCAGAAATTCACTTTGAACATTTTTGAGCCAAACTAAAAGCTGCTGTTATTTGTCCTCAGTTCCTCTCTCGGCTCCTAAGAACCTGCGTGTGTCGGAGGAATGGTACAATCGCTTCAGGATCAGCTGGGATGTTCCCCCTTCCCCCACCATGGGCTACAGGGTCGTCTACCAGCCCATATCTGGTAACTCACATACACATACACACGCTGTGGCAATTCATTTAACATTTCAACAACAAATTGTGAATTCATTGGGATTCATTTGGAGCATTGATATCCTGCATTTTGGCTACACTTATATTAAAGAATTACTATTTGAGCTAAGATTAAACTTCCAGGATTCCAAAAGAAAAAAAGCCAAATCTCTTTCCAAAATGTACGACATATGCTTTCATTACTCATTAGCATATAGCTAAAATATTCTTTCAATGAAAAGCAGAATCATTTCCGTAGTCATGCATAGGGGTGAAACATCAACATAATCACTGTATATGATTGAAGGAACTCTTTCATGTTGAGATCAAGCCCCAAGGAAGTGAGTCGGCTGTTGAAGCTAATTTCCGTAGTGACTGGATGGTGTTTCTAAAACGTGTGTCAGTCACTTGATGTATTTACCTATACTGAGTTGCATTTGGAAAGAGACATTTTTTTATTAGACTTAAAAAGCTGAACAACAGGGCCCCACCTCCGATAATGTACCCAGTACTCTTTAGACATCCATGATTGAGGATTTATTCTAATCAGAAATGACTAAAAGAGCTTGATACGAGCTTATGGAAACGTAAAGGAAACGTAAACGGTTCTATCATATGATTTATTTGATTTAGAAAATAAGTAATCATACTTTATAGAAAGCTTCCTCTGATAACATGACTACAGAATACACAGACACATTTCCCTGCAGATTTCTTCCACACTCTCCTGTTTCTCCACCACTTGCTCCTGCTGTTTCTTGCCTTTGTCCCCTTTGCGCTTCAGTTATCTTCCATCCTGCCCTGCTCCCTGGAATTGAATCTAATGATGGTCTTTGAACTCCCTCCACTTACTGACCGTTTGCTCCTCTGTGCCCCCCTCCCCCTCTGTGCAGCTCCGGGCCCCGCTCTGGAGACCTTTGTGGGGGAGGACGTGAACACCATGCTGATCGTCAACCTGCTGAGTGGGACGGAGTACAGCGTGAAGGTCATCGCCTCCTACACCACAGGATCCAGTGAGGCCCTTTCAGGGCGGGCCAAGACCTGTAAGTCAAAAGCAGAAACGTACCGAAATCTTTCCGATGCACTAATCTAATCCTCGGCTTTCATGCCCTCCCTAAATCATGTATTAACTTCTTAGAATCATTTTCAAAAACCCATTGAGGCTGTGAATCATTAAAACTCTGTAGGCTACTCGTACTCTACCATTTCCATCCTGTGTGTTATCAAATTGAGCAACATGGCCAAAACTGTTATCCGAATTTAGTTTAATTTCGTATCATGATAACTATATAACAATAAGGCATGTTTATGGTAACTGAATAAAGGAGGCAGTATAGTAAACAATATTTTATAAATATATTATTCCTCCTACTATACTGTATTTTGATGCAATTTGAAAGATTTAGACCCATTCTACCCCCAATATAATCAAGCATTCAAATTCAGAATACACTCACAACACAAATGTGACTTTCCTCTTGTAAGGCTGACGACCTGCACGACTCAGGCCACGTACAAACTGACATTTTATATATACTTATATATGTTAAGAAAAAGTACAAAGATCTAGTTCATCTCAAACATTATATTTAACTTCATCCCGGTTTGAAAACTTAAAAGTGTTTCCCCATACAGTAGTTCGCACTAATATTCAATTAAGATGAACTACAAATAGCATGACTCATGTAGCAAAAAATGAAATTGATTTTTTTTTTTTTTTCCTAGCTGTAAGGTGCTTGTTTAAGCTTTAATTCTATTTAGCTTTTTGTTTTAATTCTTCCTCAATTAAAGTTCCAGCTGAGTTTTGGAGAGTCTTCTTTTTCAACAATTCAAACCACCATCAACATGAATGCCTTCGTACGGATCTGATGCTCTTAGCAGCAGTCCCACCTACTTATAAGATACAGTTCCTTTATTTTTCTGTAACCAGAAACTATTATTCAAATGTTTAATTTGAGTTTTTTAAGTGGCTGGCTTGTTAGTGCCAGAGGCCTACTTTATGTCTCTGTTTTCTATGAATAACGGATAGTGGTTCACCGTTCAGATGCTATTGTTTACATAGTGTTTTCATTGGCATAATGGCAGATGCATAACTATAAACCACACATTTAACCTCGTCTGTACTTCAGCGGTTCTTCCTTCAGAAATTCTGATCATTTCTATGTATAATGACACAATAATATTTGTATTTTTTATTTATTTCTTTAGGAAGAGACACAGAAAATGTATTAAACTGAGCACTTGAGTTCATGATGTTAATGTGCCAGATTTATAGCCTTACAAAGCAACTTGATGCAATCATCATGTAATCTGTTCACACAGACTCACTCTCAGATGGTCTTGTTGCCTTTAACTTAATTGTTTGGTTGGCATTTTCTAAAGCGGATCATTTATATACCTTGTTATCGCTTCCCTCTGTCCTCTAATCTAATTGAGGCTGGAGCCGAACACCAATAAACATCAATCTCTTGATCTCCATCTGACACTTTAAATGGTAACTTCAACTAATTACATCGCCACCCTGAAGTGAACTGGAGAGTTGAGTTCTCCGGCGCTGTGGATCCTCCCGAGGCTCCCTGAGGTTTAGATCCATCAGCGCTTCTCGAGTACAGCATTCGAGTCGTAGCGTGGATTTCTCTCTCCTGCATGATAATCAGCCACTTCACCGTGGGCTGGCCTGTGGGTGAAAAAGCTGCTTTTGACCCTGAAAGGTCATCAGTTTGATCTCCATTTCAGACGTAGCAAACAAAAAAAACATGTGTCCTTTAGAAGTTTCCTTGAGCAGGACACTTGACATCCACCCTTTCATCCACCCGTATTTTTTCGAGAGAGAGAGAGTATCAGTACTGAGTTTCCTCCGCCTGCATGACAATTAAGCTCTTCTTGGTTGACTTGAAGGACACATTTGGGGTGTTGGGCAAAGAAAGAGGGGAAAGGGAGGTGACTACATCTTGAGAAGGTAAGGAAAGGAGGAAGAAAGATGGAGAGATAGGCGGTGTTGAATAGAGAGTATAATGATGTGAGGCCAGTGGGATCCCTGGAGATGAACCGTGTGTCATGTGGCTGGGCAGCATGTTAATGAAGCCAGTGGTCCACTCGAGATGAGTGGACTGATGCGTCACTGTCACACAGCTTTATTGTTTGACGTTTACTAAAGCTTAACCCCACGAGTCTATCATTTGTGATATCTTCATGGATTTTATCACCTAAACAATCAGAAACACAGAGAAACACCAGTTTAATATCAACTAAAGGAGTGGGTAGGGTACATCAAATCACAAAGAGCTCCTTTGACTGAGAGCTTCCATCAATATGGTTAATTTCTATTCTCAAAGCACCACATGATACCAGAAGTCAACACTTGTTAGGGCGTACAGAGTGCTAACAAAAAGATAGAAGGTGTGATTAGGCTACCAGTCCAAGTGTAATTGGTCATTTCTCGTGTGGCTTGATTATAAAATGTGTTGTATATTGAGTGGGTTCCATTCATCAAGCTGCTATTAGCAGATTGCTATGGAACAACATGGCGTAGAAAGACAGTTGTGCACAGACACCAGCATAGTGGCTGGATGATGAAATGATACTTTATATTCATGCTTCTGCATCACAACATAGCTTCGTTGTTACTCTCTAGCTAGCTCACTCAGAGCACCACCCACTTTTTTGAGTTGGTGATGCTCTGACACACAATCTGATCTTGCATATAAAAGTGCCAAAGATTGAGTTTGATAAAAAGTGATTTACTAGTAGTTTCACTTACCCTAAGGGACATTCACTTCTTGTGTTGAACCAGCGATGTCTGAGGTAAAAGATGGATTACTTCTTTAGGCTTTTGGTTTAGTTGGTACCAAAGAGGGAATACGTTCAAGTGTTTTGAGGTCTTGGTGAAGATGAAACTGACTGTGAGATTGGGCCCACATCAGCAGTAATTCAGATGCTGTACTGGTGTAAAGGTGAATAGCAAAATTAGCCTGAAGGTCAAACAGTAGAAACTAGAATGGCGCTCTCCAGAGCAGACCAAGGCTGTTTCTGTATATGTGGAAAACAATGTGTATCCACCTAGTGATTTGGATCCACTACTAAATTAACTGGCAACAGTAGTTAATGTAATGACACGTAATCACAGCATTCTCACTCACAACTGTGTTATAGTGTTCAGTGTTTCCCCTAGGATGGAGTCATAGCAGCGGTGCTAAGGCACATGGGCCCAGCAAAATGTGAGCGCGTGGAATGTTTTAATGTGTGCACGTGCGAAGTGCGCCCCACCAATATGTTTCTATGTGTCTGCCAGCACAAGAAAGGCTCTTGAGTGCCTAGTAGGCCTACATACAGTGGCAATGTCTCAAGATTGAGCAAAATACACCTTTATTGAACATACAGTAACACAAATTCTACAAATCCACATAACAAACAATCCAAAATCAAAAAGGGTCGCCACTTACACAAAAAAAAATACATATATATACAGCCACCGCTATTTGTAGGGAAACACTGGTGTTGTATCCCCTACTATTTGCACTTTACTGTTATAGTATACTTTCCCTTTGTGCCGTCTAATTAAATCACCTGCAGAGATTTTAACAAGAACCCCAACTAGTGTGTAAATGATGCATTTGCATGCAGTCTAAAATAATGCAGGTGAGGTATGTGGCTAAACTAGGAACTAGCATCTCACAGGAACATTCCTGCCTTTGTCTTTCAGAACAATTGCAGTTTTTAACAGTCAGCAGTGAATGTGCATGCATAGCATTTACATAACGACAGTGTGTGGGTTTGTTTGTGAGTGTGTGCATAAGCAGCACTTCTGTAGTGAGACAGTGAAGTGTTATGTCTCTCTCTGTAAAGAACTCCATGAAAACTCACGTCAGTGTCCTTGAAGCCACCAGGCCAGACTTATTTAAATCACTCATCTGGGAACACCATAGTATGTGGTTTCCCATGCTGTGGAGTTATATGCAGTTTTATTATTTCAGAAGAATGCTTAAGTTTTTAGTTCAAAAGAAGCATTGAGTTTGTTTTTCGTACATCGCAACACTATTTTTGTCAGCGTTTTTTTTAATTATATAATTAAATAGTCACATGTAGGGTTACGGTGAAAGTCAAATATGCTAAATAAAGGGATAAGGCTCTGATTGTATGATCAATATCTTGATTTCTCTTGCAAATATGTCAGACAAATTCAGCCTCTCAAATACATGTATCAAGGTGCCTTGCTTTTCTGTCAATATATCACACTAAAGTGAATATCTTTGGATTATGCACCGACATACCATGACATTTCAAAACTTTAAGACTTCCAGATACCAAGAAGTACATTTCTTACTATTTTAGGCAATTTACTAGTCCAACGATAAAACATAACTGTTAGTTGCAACCAGTTTCCCCTCTGTCGAGCAATTCAAATCACCACTGAGAAAGGTATTTACGCTGTTGATGCAGTGTTGTTCAGTAACATCATTCCAGCATATTGCAATGTTTATGTGAGTTCTATAAAAATCATATATAGACAGAGCTATTTCAAATAGGTTCTCTTTAAACGCTTCATTAATGTCTCCTTCCTTCCTGCAGTGTATCTGGGGGTGACCAACCTGAGTGGGTACCAGGTGAGGATGACCAGTTTCTGTGGCCAGTGGCAGGCTCACCGACACGCCAGCTCCTACAGAGTGGTCATGGAGTCTCTGCTCAGTGAGTACACACACCGCCTGCTCTCAGCTCTACACACCACACCCGCATGAAGCAGGTTTTAAGGCTGGTATGAATACATCTCAAATGAGTGCAGCCTGGGACGTTTTTTTCTCCCCATCAACCAAACAGGAACAAATATAGTATTTTAATTAAAAAAATCCCTAGTGTCCACATTTGCATGTTCATTCATGTATTAATTTGTTTGTGCCAATAAAAATATTTTTGAATTATTTTAGCATTGTAGGTACAGTGATAGCACGCAGCTTCTCAAACAAATAACACAAAAGAACTTTAAAGCTGGTAGAATGTGTGAGTTGAACTACTTTTTATGCCTAGTATTTCAGATTAGCTATGTTTAAAGAAATGTATGTCTCAGAATACTTTATTCATCGCAGGGGGATTGGGGTTTCGTGAAAGTTGCTCTCTTTTAGAATGAAAGAAATAAAAGATGAAACATTTACAATTGTTTTCAAAAATATACAATTAAATAATAATTAAAAAGATACCTTTTTAAAACATAAAGCAAAACATTAAAAGTCAAATAAAATGTGCAATTAAAAAATAAAACACAAAATAAGAAAAGTTCAAATCAGGCCCTGTTACTGTCAACAGCTGCATAACATTTCATTTTTCTGAGGTAAACATGATCGCTAGGATTTTTGTTTGGGTGGCACATGCATGCAAATGTAGATGACATGCATACACATAAGTATTTACTCCTCTCCTGCAAATGACTGTCTTTCTGGAGTATCTGCTGGATTTAAAACTGATGGGCTTATTAAACATGACAGCAAGTGAAAGTGGGATGAATAGAACTGTATAATTTCCCATCATCTCCTACACTGCATATCTGCACCAATAGGAGTGGTATGCATGCTCATATCTGCTGTCATCGGTGGGAGTTTGAGTACGCAGCACACAGTGTCCACTTTCTCAGTCCCTAAGCAGCCTGGGATGACAAAGATATTGTTGTATGCCGTCAGACATAGAGACGCATCACTGAGGCGCTCTGTAGATGAGGAAGGCTTGGTTATCCAGCTGACATTTACATTTGCTGCGTGAGTTCAAATACAGGGGAAAGGCAGACGGTTGGTGTTATAATTGCCAAGTGTATTGGGATTAGATGTTCTTGTTTCAGGAATGACAGTAATTACGCCGTGTTGTCCTAAAGGAGTGCTAAAGTGAAGAAAGAATACAGACTTCTCATTAAGGCTTTTTCTTATGAACTCTTGGTTGCACCTGCAGCCTGTTCTCTCATTCTGGGATGAGACGTTCCTAGGAACAATAAAAACAATACAAGTGGCTCTATTTCAATTTCTTAATCGTTGAAACAATCATTCAATGTTTCGCACCAGATATCTGATAGAAAAACTGAGTGGAAACCCTCAAGTGATATTTTCCTTTTACATTGTTTGTGGATAAGAAAAAGAGATGAATTACACAAACATGGAGTTATGGAAAAGATGGAATTTCCCCTAGTTTTGCCAGCATCCTCTAATTTGTTCTAATTGACAATCTGCAGTTTTTTTCTTCAGTCATTCAGGTTTTAGTGCAGATATTTGGTGCCCTGTATTTTCCAGTAAAGTTTGATAGCAGTATATTTATTAAAGTTATAATTAAGAGCATTGAATACAGAGAGAGTGTAACATGTATACCTGACTTTACACTCTGAAACATTTGATGTTACAGAGCCTATACACAACAGACATCCGTCGTCCCTTCAGAAACTTTAATCTTCAAATTCCCTTCGTAGTCTTTCATTAAACTCTTAATGACATACTTTTTTTTTTATTATATTCATCTCTAACTCTATCTGTCAAAAACAACTCTGCACCTTGCAATGAATAAAATCATCTTGGTTATGATTTCCCCACGCCACTGGCAGAAATCATTTTGTTTATCCCATTTCTTTTGAAACCAATAACGATCTCCAAAATAACATCAAACAACATATGGTGTTGCCTCAATTCTCTAACAATCGACCAGCGTTCAGTCACCTCCTCAAAGGTAGGATTGGGTTTAATACAGTCATCATCCACCCAATGGAAGGGAGTAATGGCTGCTATTTATCACCTTCAAGCCTCCAGCAACAACATCGCCCTGCAATTAACGTCCCATAAAGGCACGTATTATTGCAGCTCTCCTGTGCTTCTTCAGGGAGCTCCCAGTTATTGGTTCTCTCTGCACATATTAGAGCTTAATGAGGATTTATGTTTGCACAGCTGGTACATAATTACCTGGGAAATATGTGAGCTGCAGGCGATAGAGAGGAATGATGGAAAGTGTTGGGTGTGAAACAAAGAGGTAGATACAAGAGCAAAGCATAAAGCAAGAAGAGTTAGGTGTGTGTTCACAAATCCCCCTGTGGGATGGAGAGTTATTGTTGAATAGAACTGACGCTTACAGAGATTGTATATTATTCATTGCTGGATATCAGACTCTAAAGCTTCATTGACTGAGTATTTTTCAGTTATAGTTTACAATGTTGTTGTGCAGATGTTTGTGTTAATGAACTTATATTTGATTAAAGAGTCCTCTCCTGCTGAGGTTCAGGTGTATATCAGCATGTAGTGTCTCTGACATGTCTCCATGCTTTAATGTTCAAAAAGAGATTTGCACAGCATTTATATGCTCAAAAACCTGTTTAACTCACTAGTGTTATTGGGAAAACCCATAAAGCATAATCGGCTTCTTTATCTAAATCATTAGAATCACAATTAATACTTTAGGAAGCCTTGTTTAGAATTTTTTTTTTGTTTTGTTAGGAGGTTTTATTGACTTGCTTGTTGTGTTATTTTGTAAAGGTCCCCTATTATACTGTTTTTCATCAATATATTATAGCTCTCAGATATATACAAAACATGTCTCTGAAGTGTTTGGCTCCAAACACCAAACAGATCATTGCAGCATCCCATAATCCCTCTCTGTCTGTTACTTTAGATGAAAATAAGGAGCCCCCCCCCACGCCCCCCTGGACAGTGGTTCCCAACCTGGGGGGCGCAAAAATCGCAGGGGGGGCACCAGGCCTCAGATGATTTGAGGCCTAATATCATATTTAGACTTTCAACAGGAGTCATTTGGGGGGGTTCTCGCGGAACAAGTTTGGGAACCCCTGCTCTAGGAGGAGATTCAGGTGATAAGGTGTGGGGGGGGGGGGTTACCTTGGTTGGTT